AGGGGTTATCTGGTATAATGCTGACTAACTCTTGAAATAGTTCTTGAGAGGGGCGCCTGGGTGGCTCAGTCAGCTGAGCATCCGACTTCGGCTCAGGTCATGGTCCCATGAGTTGTGAGTTCAAGCCCCACGTTGGGCTCTGGGCTGACAGCTCGGAGCCTGGAGCCTGCTTCGGATTCTGTGTCTCCCTCTCTCTGCCCCTCACCTGCTCTCTCTCTCTCTCTCAAAAATAAACATTAAAAAGTTTTTTTAAAGGTGAAGTTTATGTTATATGAATTATATCTCAATTTTATAAAAAAATTAAGATCTCAATATTGCTTTAAAAATTTTTTAAAAGATGATAAATAAACAAGTTAAACAATGGGCAAATCCCCCTCCCCCTGCAGAGTTGTTCAACTTCACCCCAAAACTGCAAGCTCGCGTTATAATCCGTGTCTCTATGTTGTCATTTCTTCGGGCTATTGTGTCTCCCTGGCCCGGGACCCCTTCCGTGTATGACCTGTGCTCTCTCTCACTTTCAGTGACAGAGCTGTGCCCACACGGTGTGTGTGTAGGGGTCACATCCTGCCGCAGGATGACCTCCCTTCTCTGGTCTCCCCAGGCCCTTCTCCTGCTTCCCCCGGGATCCTCTGGGATGCCTGGGATAGAGGAGCCCTTGGCCCTCGGGCATCCACCCCCTTCCTTTCAGTAATGAGGTCTGCGGGGGAAGCAGGGCAGGGATTTGCCTGATGTCACACAGTGAAACGGTGGCAGAGTTGGACTGAACACCCAGGCTCCCCACAGTCCACCTGGTGTCTCTCCTGTGATGTGGGGGGGGTCGTCGAGGGCAGGAGACGGGGCTGGGCAAGGGCTGGGAGACTCTCAGGACTTCCCAGAAGCCCTCACACCAGACAGGTGAGCAGCCTGGTGCGTGAGGACGTGGCGGAGACGGGGGCTGGCGGGATAGAGGAAAGCCGAAGTCAGACGAGGAAGGTCCCAGCTGCTCGATGCTTCCTGTTTTGATCACGACTTTGGTCGTGGGAAAAAGTTGTCACCACAACACTGTAGCACCAAACCCACTGGCTTCCCTTCACACATGACCGTTCCTCCCCCTGGTGTCTGTCTGGGACCATGTCCTCCCCCCTCTCATGCTCCAGGCCCACAGACCTGGGGTTCCCAGTGGGTCACCTCAGTGACCCCCCCCCTCTGGGAGCCACCTGTGTAGCCAGGCCCACAGACTCCCTGAGGTCTGACCCATCCCTCTTCCAAGAGCTCTGCATTCATGCACTTATTGAGCACCTCCTGTGTGCCACCTCCCACACAGCTGAGGTTAAAGGGTGTCGAAATCAGCCTGTCCAAGTCTCGCCCCAGGCTGAGGCTGGGGGTGTAACTCGGGGCCCAGCCTATTCCCAGAACCAGACGCCCCCGCTCCCCCTACCCCCAATTATGAAAGGTAGCTCTGGCTGTCATACGTTCAGGACTCCCTGGGAGCAGTTTTTGATGAAAAAGGGACACATTCATGAAACGGGGTAGGTGGGCGCAGATGCCACATTAAAGGACATGGACTCAGAGGGTGAAAATGTTTCCATTTCTGATGCGAAAGGGGAGTCTCAGGTGGATGCTCTCCGTCTCTCTGACCTTTCTGACCTTAGCTAATCTCCCCTTGAACCCAAAGACTGGTGCTCAGATCCAGAGCACCCGGGGCACCAGGGGGAATTTAAGGACACTACTTGATTAACATTGTACTCACACAACTGCTCTGCTTTTATGTGTGGCAATCACGCAAGTTCTCTGTTTACATAGTTTCCTTTGAAAATAAATTATTTAAGTAAAGATGAGTTGATTTTTTCGAGAAACACCGAATCGCCATCAGCACAGGCAGAAGGGAAAGTGGTTTGGAATGTCTGGGAAGTTCGGGAAGGAGTCGGAAGCTTTCCAGGTCTGGGAGGCGGGGCTGACTTCGTCCTGGCTTTTCCCTGCTGGAAGGACCTGGCCTGGACCCGCCATAACTGAGTCACGGTGGCCTGAGCCCTTGACTCGTGAAGCGTCTGGATGTCAGGCTCCCTGTCTGCAGAGCAGCACCAGGGTGGGCACTGGAGGCCCAGAAGGCAGGTTCCTGGGTGGAGGCCACCCTCCCTCGGAGGCCGCCTCCTCCTGGGTGTGTGAGCTGCCTTGTGGCCTGCGGCTCAGGACCCGGAACCATCGTCCCCCTCGCTTCCCTACCCCCCGCAGCTTTTCCTACAAACCCCTCAATCACCAATCCTTGGCCCTTCCTCTCCCTACTGTTCTAGGTAAAGTTGAGGTTCCCTGGACCCCTGTTTCCTGGACTGTGGTTCACCTTCCCTGGGCTTCCTCTCCCAGGTGCGGTCCCCTCCCTGTCTCCCCACTGCTGAGAGAAGCTGCCCTTGGCCAGTCTGAGGTGTCTTTCTGGAACCTTCCTTTGAAACCCTACCATCACCACCACCGCCACCACCTAGATCTGTGGGCTTCCTGCAGAGCAGGGCCAGGACTAGAGTGAGGCTGGTGAGGTGCCCAGGGTGCAACATTTATGGTCGCCCCGACAGTGAGTGTCTCCTTAACTATGCGTCCGAGGCACCTCACTTGCCCCACGCTAGCCCCACACCTGTTGCAGAACACAGGAGAAGGAAAACCTGCTTGTGAAAAGGATGTTCCAGGGATTATTGGGGTTCTGAGTAATTTTCATAGCAGTTACCCCCTTGAGATCCCACAGCACCTCCCAGGAGGTCTCCACTCTATGTGCCTGAGTTTGGGGCCTGCATCACCCTGGAAAAGGAATGATGTGTTTTATCTGCTGGTGACAGAGCCTTTCAGTACTTCCCACTAGAGAATGGAATGTGCTAGCAATGGCCCTGCAGGCAGCATGAAGAGAAGGTGACGTGAGAGGGAAGGCACTTGCCCTGGGACACAACAGCAGGGCCAGGACCCGAGTTTCTCGAATCTTTACTTAATCTTCCCTTTACTTTCTACGGCTCAAGTACAGTATGTTTGACACCTGAGTATTTGGCCCAGGCCGAGCTGAATCTAGGGCATATGTCCCCTTTATGGCCTTGCTTGCCCGCCCCTCCCCCACCCTGCCAAGGCCAAGTTAATTCCCTCCACGTCTTTTCAGCAGCTTGGACTTGCCTCTAATCCCACGTCTGTCTTCCCCACTGGACTGTGGATTCCTGGAGGGCAGAGACTGTGTCCTGCGGCCTCGGCCTCAGCACAGGGCCTGGTAACTTGCAAGTGCGCTGTGCATGCGTAACCCACATTTCCTGGGACCCCTGGGGGCCCAGGCTCAGTGCCACAAGGCCAGAGCCCTTCATACGACACAGACCATTAAGCAAAAGTAATTTAAAAATAATTCCAGCTGTGACTTGTGTCCCTCTAATACCCTTAAAATCCACTTCCCTCTTTGGCTCCGTCCCTTTTCCTCTCTTTTCCATTTCAGCCCCTCTCCACCGATTTCCTTGCTTCTGTGATACAAAACCTGGACACTAGATTGTCCAAGGGCCGGAGTTACCTTCCAGAGAGAGGGGAGGTGTGGCAGGTCAGCCCGTTGTCCTCCAGACCCCGTCGCCTTCTTCCTCCCCGGCCCGCGGGCTGCTCGGCCAGACAGTTCCCGGCCTCCCGTGCAGGAGTGGCCACGGGACTAAGTCCCCGCTGTCGGAATGTGAATGCGAGCAAGGGAAGCCACTTTCGGGCCTAGGTCTTAAGTCACCGGGTGTCTTCTTTATCCCCCCTGTTTGGCTGCAGCCAGCCCTGGCGACAGCCCCGAAAGGGGACAGTAGATCTTATGGGAGGGAAGAGTCATACCGCGGAAGGGTCTCTGAATGGCCAGGGCCTCCCGTGTGAGAGCCGAGGACAGGACGCTTCTATATGCCTCATGCTGCTTTGTGTTGGGGTGTCTGCCCCAGTGAAGAGCAGTGTGGCCTTACTCGTAAGAGCCGGGAAGGGGAGAGGCTGGCCGAGCAGTTACAACCAGAATCCTCTTCAGGAGGAAGGGGGAGCAGAGTCCGGGACTCCCACACGACCGACTCTGTCCCATTGCACTTTGCGGGATGACCGAAGGGCCAGGGATGCTCCCAGCAGCAACGAATGAGGACGGTTTCTTGTGTAACCAGAAGGGGGAGGGGAAAGATTGGGGTCACTCAGCATCCAGGTTCAGTGCTGACAGATACTCAAAAGCAACAGAAATGACCTCAGTTCTATCTGCCACTGTGTTTCTAAGAGACTCTTACTTACCCCTGTCGGCCTTCCCCTGGGGAAGGTTTCACCAGGGCCTCCCCAGAGGAGAGTGAGGGGCTTGCCCAAGGTCACCCAGGCCGTTAGAGCCGGAAAGGCCATGGAAACCCCAAGAAGGGATTTGGAGCCAAAAAGGAATTGAATCTGGAAGCAGATGGGGAAACCAGCAAGGGAACCCTCCCCAGGTGGAAAGATTAACTCAAGAAGCTGTAGCCAAAGACAATGGATGGAAATGACCTAAGGAATTCCAGGAAGGAGAGAAGCCTGCGGTCCAGGCACCTGGCGGGCTCCTTGAAGCCTGCGGAGCGGTCATGATTCACTCTGACGGCCTAGGCTGGAGGGAGATGAGGCTGAAGCACTGAGGTCTGAAAAGGAAATGCAGGAACCACGAAGTTCAGTGAATTGTCTAAGCCAAAAGAGACAAAATGGCCCTGGGGAGGGGCCTGGAGCCCAGACAGCCAGGGGAGGAAGGAAAACCCGATGGGCCTCAAATCTTCCCAGGTAACATCCTTTCTTTCAACATTCCCTGAACATTTACGGAGCACCTACAGTGTACGCGTACCTTTGTACCCTAGGGATACAGCCATGAACAAACAGAAAAAAAACAAACAAACCCATCTTCCGGGGCCCCAACCTCCTAGTGGGGGAAGCAGACCATAAAAGACAACCACAAGAAATAAGGCAATTCTCTAGTGCCGAGACCAGGAGTGACGGAGATGAGACCGACCTCATAGACTGCAGAGCCCAGTGCAAAATGAAAACGTGAGGCCCCTTTCCAAAGGCAGAGAAAAGGAGTTGTTAAAGGTACACAGGAAATTTTGCCTTCTTTCTGTAGTCTCCTCTCTCTCTCTCTCTTTCTCGGTCTCTCAACTTGTTACTGTTTTTATGTGCTGTTTAATGTCATTCTAAGGAAAGAAAAATTTTAAACTTATATCATTAGCATGTCATTCTAAGGAAAGAAAAATTTTAAACTTAAATTATTAGCATAGAACAATGCTGGCTTTGAAATGAAACTATCAGAGCATTTAACTCAGACGTGGAGTCACAGAAATTACACAATTTGTATTTCATGGCTTGTCCCCAAGGGTGCCCCAAGCCTGCCAGAAGAGGCCAAACAGAAAGATTGGAAAGAGGAAGAGCTGATCCACCCAGCCAGAGAGTAAGTGAACTCTCCTGGGAACAGAAATACCCTTAGGGTAAAAACTCTCCTGGGTTCCCAGGGGCCCTGCCCCACCATTGGGGACACACCCCCTCTCCAGAGCCTGACAGTTGCCAAGTTCCCCCTCCCAAACTGTCCCTCCCGCCAGATGCATGACTGATGGGTAGCACGCAGGTGAGGGTGGGGGCCTATGGGACTCAAACCAGACCTCTCGTTCGTACGGGTCCCCTCTTCCAACCCTTGGCAGATAGGCAGCCCCCACAGGTCTTTAAGCTTCCCTTCTAGGGTGCGCCCAGGACCTGCGTCAGGATCTTGCACCCACTGAGATGTGGCCTCCGGCCAGTCACCTACCAGACACACCCTGATGCTGTGAGTGCAGGCTAGGGATGGCCGTGCTCCAAGTGGATGCCTTGCTCCAGGATGCTCTGGGGCGTGTGCACCTGACCTCCCCTCCCCCGTCCTGTGTCTGTGATCAGGGTCCTGCCCGGCCCCAAAGACAGCCACGGTGATCGAGTGGGGCCAGAGAGGGGAGGCTGAACGGGGCCGGAAGTGCTAATGGGCAGGGGACCAGGTGGCACATGTGAGCTAAGGCCAAGTTCCTGGCGCATTCCCACCTTGTCCCATCAGACCTCACTTCAAAACACAGATTCAAAGATAAAACTATTAAGAACTTCAAGACCATGATGGTGGAGCATAAAATGCAAAGTGTGGGGCCCTTCTGAGCACAGGGTCCTGAGTCGGGGCTCTGTGGCTGTGCTCCCAGAAGACAGCCTTGGAGGGAGGAGAGGTTGGCATTCTGAACAAACGTTCACAGAAGGCTTTGTTAAGAAGATGGTGTTTGAGCAACGACTTGAAGAATGAGAAGGAAGGAGCCACTCAGACTTCAGAGGGAAGGGTGTTACAGGGAGAGGGAACAGAATGTATGAAGGCCCTGGTTTAGGGACGTGCCTAATGTATCCGAGGGACAGCAAAGAGACCCATGCGGCTGGAGTGGAGGGGTGAGGGGCCAGTTGTGCAAGGCCCTAGGAAACATTTTAGGGACTGGGGCTTTGATCTGAGAGAAAGGGCGAGCCAAGGAAGGGTTTTCAGTACAGGAGTGACGTGATCAGATTTAGGTTTCCAAGTGGCTCCTGGTGGGTTGAGCATAGGCTGTAGGAAGCAGGAAAACAAACCAAGGGCTATTGCAATAACCCAGGAGACGGATGGCGGTGGCTTGGACCACCAGCCTTTAAGGATGGGTGGTCAGATCCTGGGCATTTAGTAACATTCTAACACATATTTATTCAGCTCCCAGGACACCACCTACGGTCAAGGCTCAGGGGGTTAATTAAGCAGGAGACACAAGATTCCAGCTGTTGTGGAGAGTTCTGGTGAGGTAGAAACAGAAGATAAACAAACTAACAAAAAAAAAAAAAAGAAGGTCCTCACTGGCAGGTCATTTCGGCTGAAATCTGAGTGACATAAGGAGCCACCGTGAGATCGGGGAAAATCATTCCAAGTAGAGGGCACAGCATGTACATTAGTCAGCTCAGGCTGCCGTCACAGAACACTCCAGACTGGGTGGCTTAAACGGAAATTTATTATTTTTTTTCACAGGTTTGAAGGCTGAGAAGTCCAAGATCAAGGTGCCCGCCAATTCAGTTCCTGGTGAGTGCTCTCTTCCTGGCTTGCTGACGGCCAGTCTTTTTTGCTGTGTCTTCACAGCCTTTCCACAGCACCTGTGAGTGATCTCTTTCTTTCCTCTTCTATTTTTTTTAAAAAAATGTTTCATTTATTTTTGAGAGAGAGAGAGAGAGAGCAGGGGAAAGGCAGAGAGGTGGCGGACGGAGAATCCAAAGCGGGCTCTGCACTGGCAACAGAGAGCCCGACATGGAGCTTTGAACCCACGAAACTGTGAGATCATGACCTGAGTTGAAGTCAAGAGTTGGACACTTAACTGACTGAGCCACCCAGGTGCCCCTCTTTCCTCTTCTAATAAGGCCACCAATCCTATCGGATTAGGACCCCACACTCTTGACTTCACTTAACCATCCTTACCTCCTAAAAGCCCTACCTCCACACACAACCACAATGGGGGGCTTCAACCTATGAGTTGAGGTTGGGGGTAGACAGTTCAGCCCAAAGCACCCTGAGCTGGCAAACGAGCCTGGCCGATCCTTGGCAAGGCAAAGAGAAGGCAAAGAGAAGGCCGATGGGTACAGGGGAGAGTGCTTCAGACAGAGGTGGGCAAGGTGGGCAGCAGTCAGCTCCCACAGCCTTAAATCCAGATTCTACTCTAAGTGCTGACCATTTCTGAGCACTCCTCTGTTCCAGGCACATGCTAACAGCCCTATGAGCATCATCTCATTGAACTGTCACAGTTATCCTAAGAGGCTGATATTATCTCTGCCACTTTCACAAGTAAGGAGACTGAAGCCCGAGCAACACTGGTCAGAGAAAGGAGGCTCGGTCGTGGTGCTCAGCCCCCCAGGGGAGGAGTACAGAGCACCCCTTAGGTGAGCCCCCCGGGATGGGCCCCCAGACTGGGTGACCTCAGAAGCAGACACTGGATTTCATCTAACGGAGGCCTATTGGGCATCTGGTCCTGGTGAGGGGTTAGAGGGCTCAGTGTGAATCAGCCACAGTCTGGGCCAGTTAGGACAAGCCTTCTCAAAGTCAGGTTCTCAGTCTTCTACATCCAAATGTCCTGGGGCACAGATTCCTGGTGCTGCCAGTAGCTAGGAAAGCTCAGAGGTGTTGCCAGGAGTTGGCATCTTAAACAGGCATCCCTACGGGAACCTCTGCTGCAAGGGAGGGGCCGGCCACTGGGTAAACAGCTGGTGAGGGGGCACAGTAGACGGGCATCAGCAGCACCTGCAGAGGGGCCTGGAGCCTTCTGCCGGTGAGTGACTTCTTGAAGTAATGCTGCAGCTGGGCGTTGAAGGAGGCGGAAAGTGTGGAGGGAGGGAGAGGACCTTCCAAATGGAGGGACCTGCACAGGCAAAGACCTGGAGGCAGGGCACAACCAGAGGAAAGGGGAGCGGGGGAGAGGTAAGAGGAGGTTGTGCACCAGCTTTCTTCACTCCCCTCTGTGACCAAGGGACAAGGTGACCCAGGTGAGCTTCATCAGCCTGCAACAGCTGTGGGGGCAGCTTCATTGCAGAGACCTCTGCTGGGTAGACAGGCAGAGCCCCCTTTGCCCAGGCCCCCAAGAGTCACAGATGGATCATCTGGACCCAGTTGGCCCAGATGCTGTTCTTCGTATGGAAGGAGAAGATGGATGGGTGATTTCACAGAGAACAAAGGGGCTGTAGGCTTGGGGGAGGGGATGAGTGGGGACCTCCCTGTGGAGCCTGGTGACCTATGGCCCTTCCCTGGGTGGCCCTCAATGGGTTGGCTGGGAGGAGGGGACGGGAGGCATCCTGTCTTTCAACTACGGGCCCCAGAGCAGTCACACCCAGAGGCGTGATGGAGCTGGATGCTAGAGCCAGGTGCTGGAGCCGGGTGCTGGAGTCGGGTGCTGGAGTCAGGTGCTGGAGTCGGGTGCTGGAGCCAGGTGCTGGAGCTGGGTGGCTCACAAGTGCAGACTATATAAATATTCAAGAACTTTGTAAGCTGGTTGTTAAATTTTGGTAACTTGAAATTGGCCTTGATGGGTGTTTATACAGCATGGAAATTGGCAAAAATTAATTAATTAATTAATTAATTTTAAAAAATTAAGGATTTTTTAAAAAAATTCTTCCACTGAGCTGGTTAATCACTATTTCACTGACAAAGGAGCCAAGCCAGTAGCATCACAGAGCGGTCAGTAGCTGGAGACCCTTATCCAAAACACACCCTCTGTGCAAAAGCCCCACACGGGGCACAGGAAACAGCCAGGTACATCAGACACACTCAAGTGCCCCTGCTGTCAAGGAGCAACCGGTCTGTAGGGAGACAAAACAACAACAGCAAAAACCTGGGACGGTATCAACCAGGGAAGTACTGCTATCAACAGCCGCTCTACCGCAAGTCCCCACCATGGGTCATGGTGCTGGGAACCTTTCCCCCAACATCTCCACTCCTCACAGCAGATCCCACTATACAGATGGGAAAAATGAGGCTCAATGGTACACAGTCACCAGCCCAGGATCACACGGCTGGCAAAGTCAGGTCCAAAACCCATGCCGTTCTGACTCCTGAGCTTGCATGAAGTTCGTAACCATTGCGCCGCCTGCCTCCTCACAGCAGGCTGCCCCGCGGAGCACAGAGCAGGGGGCAGCTCACCCCGCCTCCAGCAGGTGCAGGGAGGCACTGGGAGAGGCTTCCCAAGAGTGGTGACCTTTGGCCTGAGCTTTAAAGGATGAAGAAGAATTTGCCAGTTATAGGGCGTGAAAAGGCATTCCTGATGGAAGGAGAAGCACAGGAAGAGGCAAGGAGGAGCGAGAGGGCATGGGAGGTTGAGGGAAGAGAGAACACGGCCGTATCACAAGCTTACGTCACGGAGAAGCAGGGGAGAGGGGAAGGGAGTCTGGGGACGTTAGTGAGAGAGGCCTTGAAAGCCAGGCTAAGAGATTTGGTCTTTTATCCTAAAGGCTTGGGAGGAACAGAAGTGGAAGGTCCTGGAACCCATATCCTAGAACTATGTAAATATTTCGGCAAGATTGCTACAATATCCATTTTACAAATGGCCCTAAAGCAATGCTTCTCAAACCATCTGTGGAGGACCACTTTTTAAAAATTTCTAATCTATCACAGACCAATACTTTTGTAAAATACAAGGAAAAATGAATTACTAGAAAAATAAAATGAAAAAAAAAATACCAGCCCTTTGTTTTTATTCTGAGATTCAAGACATACAATTACTCCATCAAATTGCACTACAAGTTTTCAACCCTTAATTTCTGTGTTCACTTTGATAGAGATGAGCTGGTCCAGGGACTATCTGCTACAGGCACACCTCTAGGACAAATAAGGGTTCTCTTAGCAAGGGCCAAGTGCTGTCAAACACATTCTATCTTGGAGATGAGGAATCTGTTGTTCAGAGAAGGTAAGTGGCCTGCCCAAGATCACACAGCTGGTGAGAGGCAGGGCTAGGATGTACACCCTGGGCTGTCTGCCTTCTGAGACTCTCTGCCTCGACCCATCCGGCAGGTGCAGCCCAGACCCTCTCAGCAGAGCCCTTTGGTCTGGTGCCTTCTGTTAACACAAGGTCAAGAGCCGTGCAGGTGGGGACCCATGAGAGAAGGGACCTCCCCTGCCCAGGGTCCCCCACCAGAGGTTGGCGGAAGCAGCCAGCCTCTAAGTCTCCTGACACGAGTCTGTCCTCGGGTTGTCACTCCACCTGCTTCTGTGCTTGTGGCCTCCAGGCCAGACGGTGCCAAGGAGGGCAAGGGAAGGAGGGGCAGGAGGGGCAGGGGACTCACCTGCTGCAATTACGCGGTGTTTTGTCATTCTTAATTAGCTCAGCTGCTCCAGAGGCAAAGACCTCCCCATGGAAACAGGGGTCAGCTGCTGGTCCTGCCCAGAGGGGCTGTCTGGGTGGGTAGGGGGCCCTCAGGAGAACCTTCCCCAGCGCCTTTAGGTGCTGCTGCTGCTTCTTCAGCTGCAGAGGGTCACCACTTGCCGGGTACATGGTGAGCACCAGAGGACAGAACTTAAGTCCTTAGATGTGTACGGGCCACCTCCTCTGTGCCAGGCGCTGGTCAGCTGCCCCAGGGAACCCTGGGGTGAATGATGGTTTCCAGCCCCCATGCTCGGGACACACTCCGCTGCTGGGGGAGGTAAACAGGTTCACCCATAGCCACAAAACACGAGTGACAACCAGAGTTACTGTTTACCAAGCACCTGCCACAAGGCAGGCACCAGGCCAAGCATTTCCCACATATTATCCAACAGAAGCCTTGCAAAGTCCTCTAAACCAGGTGCCATTCCCACCGCACAGATGAGGAAACTAAAGCCCAGCTAGCTAGAATTGCATAGACACAGATGGAGGATTTGGTTTTAAAGTCATTGTTTGATAGAGAGAGTGAGAAGGAGAGGGGCAGAGAGAGAGACGGGGGTGGAGGGGGCGGGGGGAGAATCCCAAGCAATCCTCAATGTCAGTGTGGAGCCTGACACGGGGCTCAAACTCATGAACCGTGAGATCATGACTTGAGATGAAACCAAGAGTCAAATGCTCAACCAACCGAGCCGCCCAGGTGCCCCAGGAGGATTTGGTTTTAGAACCCAAGTATGTAGGGGTGCCTGGGTGGCTCGGTTGGTTGAGCATCCAACTTCGGCTCAGGCCATGATCTCACGGTTCATGGGTTCGAGCCCCGTGTCTGGCTCTGTGCTGACAGCTCAGAGCCTAGAGCTTGTTTCAGATTCTGTGTCTCCCTCTCTCCCTGACCCTCCCCTGCTCACGCTCTCTCTCCCTCTCTCTCTCTCAGAAATAAATAAAACGTTAAAAACAATTAAAAAAAAAAAAGAACCCAAGTATGTAGAGCTCCAAGGTCAAACAGTTGTTGACTGAGGGAAAGAGAGAGAGAGGGAGAGAGAGAGAGAGGAAGCTTGTGAGAGAAGGCAAGTGTGTGGGTAGCTGTGACTTGGTATTGGGGAGGAGGCCAACTAGACTTTCAGGGCAAAGGTGGGGAGGCTGGGAGAGTTGAGGAGGCAATCTAGCTGGATGTTTCTGGAAGAGGAAGCATCATGAGAAGGATCTGAGGAGGGGAGGGTTCAGAGCAAACTGGTTGGAGCTGCTGGATTAGTGGGACATAAGAGGCAGGTCAGGCGAAAAGTCAGACCCAAGTCTCAGCAGGAATCTCTGGGCTTTTGACTCACCAGTAACCCAAGGTCTCTGTGATTCCCTGACAGAGGGCCTGAGGTGGAGGGGGAAGTGGGAGCGGGGGTGTGGGCTCTGGGGTGAGGCTGGACGACCCGCAGCTCAGACTGGGCCAGGCTGCTTCCAAACCACAAGAGCTCCCTTCCCTGGGGGCCAGTCAAGAACTATGATAAGAATAGCCATTCCACCTTTACTATTCAGCCAGTCAGGAAAGTGACTCTAGTTTTATTAAAATATCCAACATATATAGTACTTATTATAGGCCAGGCATAATTCTAAACACGTTCCAAACTTTAATGCTTTTAATTCCTACAATAATCCATGAGGTAGAATCCCCATTTTACCCATGAGGAAACTGAAGTCCATGGGATTTCAGTGGCTTATTTAAGGTCATGAAGTAAAGAAGCAGGGGAGACAGGATCCAAAGCTTCAGTATTCATGTGTTTAACTACTGTGCTCTGGTGGTGGGCAAAAAGACAATACACTCTGCTGTAAAAACTCCCATTTTACAGATGGAAAAACTAAGGCCACGCCAGGTAAAGGGACTGGCTCAGGCAAGTAAGGAGGATAGATTGCTTGAGGAAATCAGGGCTCCTGATCCTATGCTAGACTTCTGCCTTGGTCCCAGTACAAGCCCAAGCGACAGCTGGAGAGAAGCCAAGAGCCCTCCCAACCGCCTGGCACCCACTATCTCATTTGGGGTCCTCTGAGGGCCCAGTGGGGGAGAAAATAGTAAGATAACAATTCTGGCACTGTTTTCCTAAAGACAATAGCCAGTTATAACTATAGGTAGTTTCTCCCTGCCTTTTCTTTCTTTCTTTCCGTCCGTCCTTCCGTCCTTCCTTCCTTCCTTCCTTCCTTCCTTCCTTCCTTCCTTCCTTCCTTCCAGCTTATTTATTTTGAGAGACAGAGAGCGACCAGGGAGGGGCAGACACACACACACACACGCACACACACACACCAGAGAGAGAGAGAGAGAGAGAGAATCTCAAGCAAGCTCCACATTGTCAGCGTGGAGACCTACTCAAGGCTTGAACCCACAAATCGTGAGATCGTGACCTGAGCTGAAATCAAGAGTCAGATGCCAAACTGACTGAGCCGCCCGGGGAACTTCTATTTATTTCCTTTCTGATTGCTAAAGGCTATATGATCACTGCACAAATCTTTACCAAGTTAGATCACATGAGCAAAAAAAGAATTAAAAAATCACCTTAAAACCCCTCCTTGAATACGGGTGTATTTTCAAGATGTCTCTGCTCCCTCTCTGTCTTCATAAGCATCCAAGCTGTGAAGCAAGAGACTTGGCTTCTGGTCCTGGCTTGCTGTGTGTCCTTGGGCAAGTCCCTGCCCTTCCCCAGGACTCAAGCTCCTTACCTGTGAAATGAGGGTTTGGACATGGTGATCTCGGAGGAGGCCCCTTGCCGCTCTGACCTGTTTCTGCTTCTGTTCCTGGCTTGGCAGAAGGGCCACGAGCAGGCTGCCCCTCTGCGGGAGATGCATGGCTGACAGCTCCCAGCAAGTCTCCTCCGGGACGACGTGATGGCCCTGGAAACAGCCTTCACTGCAGGCTCCGCGTTCCCAGGCCCGCCTGCTCACTGGGCCCATATGGTGCCCCCTGCCAGCCGGACACCACCAGCTGCCCTTCACCTGCCAGCCCTGGGTGATTGCTTTTCCTTCAGGTTCCAGAACGCCCTCTCTGCTGCCCCAGAACCCAGCTGGCTCAGGGTAAGAGAGCTGGGGGCCTCTGCCCTGAGGGCCTATCTACCCTTGGGCATAGCCCTTTGCGGGAGAAGATGGCCTCATATGGTAAAAGAGATAGAGAGAGGGAGGGAGGGAAGAAGGGAGGAAGGAAAGGAACATTGATTGACTAAATTCCAACTTCATTTGGACCCCTTGCTAGGCATTCAGGAATGAATCCGAAAAACATTCTGCCCTTGAAGGGTCCAAAGTCTAGTGGAGGCGACAAGAGTAGAAAGAGGCAGCAGCAACACTTGCAATGCTGAGAGCTTAGGCCTGTGAGATCCCAAAGGGAGAAGCCTAATAGATGGGTGGCTGTCAGAGAAGGCTTTCTGAAGGAGGCAGCTTCATAGATCAGTTTTCAGGCAGCCTTGTGGAATAGATGTTGTTGCCCCTTTTACAGACGATGCTCAGAAAGGTGAGCTCACAACCACCAAACGAAGACAAGTCAGGTTCAAATCCCCATGAGCCTGGGACAGAATGGGACAGAATGACTGAAAAAGCACTTGGTTTATAGTCTGAGAGAGGAATGTCAGTGAGGCCTCACTACCCAGGTGGCGATAGCACAGCCCCATTTCCCCCCCGAACACAGGAACAGGACTCCTGTCTTCTGAGCTAGGAGCAATCCTAGAGGCTGAAGTTCACCTTGCTGAAGGATTCCCATCTCGAAGAAGTGAGGCTGTGGCATGAAGACCAGTGCTCTCTTTTGACTCCCTTCTGCAAAGCCTAATGGGAAGGCATAGGATCCTAGAGACCATCCTAAATCCTGGCCTTAGAACATCTGTGCTTGAAGAATTCTAGAATCCAGACTCCCCTCAAAATGTCTCCTAGTAACCAAGGCAGGGTCTCTGGGTCAAGGTCATGCAGCACCTGGCCCTGGCAGGTTGGAAGGATCACTAGAAATAGGATTCCATTTCCTTCCTTTGACAGATAAAGATTAAGACATGAGGGGGGGAAGGAATTGCCTAAGGTAACACAGCAAGTCAGTGTCAGAGCATAACACCCAGGTCATATCATGACATGGGGAGGGGGGTGGGGTGGGACAGCCTAGATGCCCAGGTGGTCCCAGAGAGCAACCTGGGTGCTGTTGGAGGACTAAAATCCGCACTGTTCTTACTAAGGCAAACTTTTATAGTCCTGCCTGGTTCCCAGCAAAGTTCTAATACCCCAACTCTCCTGAACTTTGGACAAGACTTCTTTCCCACCTTAAGTCTACCCATCTGTAAAATGGCTCCCAACTGCCTTTCAGCTGGATTGCCTAGAAATCCTAGGAATAAGGGGATTGGGAGAGGGAGGAAAAGAGGGGGCGTCTTGGGCTTTAGGCTCCCTACCTCAAAGGCGCCCTTCATCAGGACAGCCTCAGGTTAGGGTTAGGGAGCCAGAGCAGGAGACTGGCCCAGGCGAGGCGAGGCACGCCGTCGGGGGCGGGGCCCGGGGCGGGGCCCAGCCGCCATCGCCCCGCCCCGTTGGACGTCTGCGCGGACCTCGCGCCGCGGGGGGAGGAGCGCGAAGCCCGCGCACCGCGCGGCCCCGGCGGAAAGTTTTCCCTGACGGAGTTTTGGCGGCGGCGGCCGGGGCGGCCATGGACGCGCTCAAGTCCGCGGGGCGGGCACTGATCCGGAGCCCCAGCCTAGCCAAGCAGAGCTGGGGGGGCGGCGGCCGGCATCGGAGTGAGTGTGTGCGCGTCCGCCGGGTCGGGCGGGAGGTCGGGGCTGGGGGTGGGGGGGCTCGGGCCCCGCGGACCGGCCTCCCGCGGGCGCCGGGGACAGAGGCGCCGTCTGCCGGGTGGCCCGCGGCCCTGCCGGGGTTGGGGGGGTCGCCCGGGGTCACGTTATGCTCCCACTGTCGTTCCGCTCTGTGCGGCTGGGGAGGAGGGGCGGAAGCCGAGGGGAGAGAGCGGAGCTCGGGGTCCCCAGGTGCAAGCGGCAGTCGGAGGGGCCGCAGGTGAGGCGAAGAGACCTGCGCGACCTCCGGCACCTGGCCACCTCGCCGCTCGGGGCAGCTGAGGCGAGACGGGAGCTCAGCGTCGGTGCCTGGGGCAGGAGAAGTGGGCACCGGGGCTTGGAGGAGATGCCCGCACCCTGCGCCCCAGCCTCTGGGTGCGCGGCGGGCGGGCGCCCCCGTGCCCCCTCCCCCCAGTGCAGCCCTTGAGGTCGTCTTTAGACGCCCAGAAACCGACTCGGGTGTGAGCGGAGTTCGCAGGTACCTGCTTGAGGTTGGGGGCGAGGCTCAGCCCGGGGTCTCTGGAGGTATCACACACCGAGCCATCCCGACCCTTGCGTCGCCTGCTCTTCCTACGTCTAGGTGGCGAGGCTGGCGTTCTGGCCAATTTTGAAACCTGTTTTCTCTTGCACTTTCCCTCTCGGGCCTCCGAAGTCCCGCGGCGCCCAGGCGAATGGCAGGCTCGCCGCCACCCTCTCTCGGGGGCGCCTGGGAAGCTGGGAGGCCGTCCCCCCTCCGCTCCCCGTCTCGAATTACTCTCAGGGAACCCGTCACCTGGCACCTTCCCTTGAGGCCTGAGAAACCCAGCCGGAGTCCTTTTTTTCTCCAGAAGAAAGGGAGTGCATTGCCTGGGGTCACCCAGGTCTTCCTGGTAGATGTGGAGCCAAAGCGGGGCTTCTGTAACCCTCCCACCCTCCTGTCCAACACCTGGGCGTCTCCTCCCCCACCTAGAAACCGCTGACAGTACCGCTGCACCCCACCCCCCTTCCTTTTCTTTCCAGGGCTCCGCCAGGGGAGCCCGAGTTCCCTGAACCACGAGTGCCAGCGTGTCTGGGCCTGGAGAGCCCGCCCTGCCCCTCCCTCTTGCCCCTACTCTGCTGTTCCAGCTGTGGCCACCCCCCTAAACGGAGACTGGCCTTGAGAACATGGGCTGCTGCCTGCTGGTAGGGGTGGGGTCAGAGACCCATTAGGGCTGGTCTGGGCCAGGCCAGGGGTGCACCCTCTCCTACACTTATTGGCCCCCCAAACAGCCCCTTTAAATACTTATGGGATTTGACTAGGGCTTCTGAGAATAATGGTTTGTTTCTGTGGGGGGGGGGGGACCCTGCAGTTTTCTCCAGGGATGGGGGAGAGGGATGGGGTGCCGGGGAAGGGAAGAAAGCTTCGAGGCCTCTTTGGTTCTGGGGAAGGGGGAGAGGTAGCCACCTTGGACAGTGGAAGAGAGTTTTTCCTGCTGCTCTGACCTTGGACAAGTCCTTTTCCTTTCTTTTTTTTTTTTTTTTCTTATTTAAAAAAAATTTTTTTTAATGTTTTATTTATTTCTAGGAGAGAGAGAGACAGTGTGAGCAGGGGAGGGTCAGAGAGAGAGGGAGTCACAGACTGAAACAGGCTCCAGGCTCCAGGCTCTGAGCTGGCAGTCAGCACAGAGCCCGATGCGGGGCTCGAACCCACGAACCGCGAGATCATGACCTAAGCGAAAGTCGGACGGTTAACCGACTAAGCCATCCAGGCGCCCCCATTTTCCTTTCTGACTCTGTTTCCTTACCTGCAAAATGGGAATGAAAATTCTAACCTGACAGGGGTGTTGAGATCAAGTTCATTGATAATGCTTTCTCCCGGCACCTGATTGGTGGTTTCCTTGGGTCCCACACTTCTCCCTTCTTGTCATGTGGACCTTCAACAGGACGGTTGCTGTGGTGGAACAAGTTTTAGGGGCTCAGAGCCCATCTACACCTGCAGAGGAAAGGAGAGGAGAACTCGGGTCCCCTGCAGACCCCCCAGAGTGCTGTTCTGAGCCTTCTGGACCCAGAATGATCTGGGTGGAATCTTCACCTGTCCTCCGTTATTAAGCGTCAATTTCCTTATCTGTAAATTGTCAATGACGTTAGTACCCGGCTGGAGTGTGTGTGTTAAATGAAATTGTGCTTGCCTGGAGTTGGCAAAGGAATTCAATAAAATAACACCTGCTTTTGCCACTTTATGTTCTACACAGTGTTTCTGCTTCCGTTATTTCATTTGCTCCTGTGAGGTGTGATAGAGCAGAGATTCTTATCAGACACCCCTCGCCCCCCGCCCCCCCCCATCAGAGATAAAAGAGCTGAGCCTCAGGCTCCAACAGAGCTTCCTAGAGGCAGCCCTCCAAACTCCCCAGCTCAGGGGTCTTATGGCTGTGCCTCCTGGGGCAGGCCCCACCCCAGGTTGGGCTGACAGTTGCTGAGAACAGTGGTGGCCACAAGGTAGAGAGGGAAGCCGTGGGGTGCGTCTGGGGTGGAGGTGCTGGGGTAGCCTGGCCTCGGGTGGTGTTCCAGCCAGGCCTCCGGCCCATCCCTCAAGGCCCAAGCCCTGTGGTTGACTTTTGGGGCAAAACTAAAGTCAGTGGAGTTAAGGATGGACCTGACACCTGCTGTCAACTGTGACTTGCTCCTTGCCCCTCAGGACCCTCAGCTGGGCTTAGCACGATCATTGTTTTGTTTGTGGAGAAACTGAAGCCCAAAGAAGGGAGACAGCTTGCTTGAGCAAGCTAGAGCCCCAGCTTGGCCTCCTCATGGCCCCGTCTCCCGGCTCGGCCTTAGTTTGAAAGAGAACTCTCCTCCCACACATGGCCTTTCCCCCATCTCTTCAGGAGTCTTGAATATTTTATCTCTGTCCCTGGACAGGGATTTTCCTTTCTTCCAGCCTTCTGGAAAGATGGCTTATTCAGGCCACACAGTATCCTTCTTTCCAAGAGAGATCCTCTGACCCGCAGACTTCTTCATGGGTTGTGCCAGGCTGTCCGAGAACTCAGAACAGGAGAAGAAATACTAGGTACAGGTTCCAGGAAAGCTAGTTTCTGGTAGTATGTGGGGGACAGAAGATCTGTCTGTACTTACTTATAATATTTACAATAAAGGAGATGATATATAAACCCCTTAGTCGTAACACTTATTGGTCACAGACTGCGTGTCCTGCACTGACAGGTGCTGGGAGTCTGGTGAGAAGCCAGCCTGTCTGCCCCTTGTGCTGCTGTTGGTTAGAGGAGGCAGACAGAATGACCAGGGTGCAAATGTAAGGTGGGGTCATAAGTAGTGATGGCGCTGTTAAGAGAGAGAGAGCGGACTGAGGAAATGGGGACAGCTTCCGTAGAGTAGTATCACACTGTGGCTTCTTCTGGAAAGCAGAAGGATCTGAGTGCAAGCCATCTGTTTGGGAAGAGATCTCGGGAAAGATTTTTAGAAGTGAGAAGAGGAGAGAGTCCGAAAAGCGAACAGGAGAGCAGCGCGGGTGACTGGAGGGCCTTGCTGTGGAGAGCTCTGGGAGGCCCTTCACTTACTCTGCGGGGCAGTTCCTGGCAGCTGGGGGTACACGGTACTGAGGATGGAAACCCTTAATGCCCCAGTCCGCATGGGCATTGGCATCTCTGGTAGCCAGAGGGTGCTGCGGGCAGAGAGGTGGCATCTCAGGTGGCCCATGTGGAAACGGCAGCCAGTGTGGGGGTGAAGGTGGGGCCCTGATGGGGTCAGCCCAGACAGTCAGGGAAGGCCTCTCCAAGATGGTGACTTGGAGCCTGTATGAGAATACGGGAGGGAGGAGTCTGGGAACAGCATTCCAGCCCAAGGGAACAGCAGGTGTGGGGGACATGTAACTGGAGGCTGGGGCCCTGCTTCTCATGGGTCTGGTGGCTGAGGGAGGGATGTGTGCCTTGAAGGCGTGGGGACCGCCCTTGCCCACGGAGGGGCACTCTGTCCAGGCAGCCGTGCAGGACAGGACGCCCGCCCCTCTAGGCGGTCCTAACTCCTGACCCCTGCCTGGCATGGGAGGAGGCTTGGTGGGCTGCAGGAGTGGGTGGATGGCACTGAGCCGGCTGTGGGAGGCAAAGACCAGCTCTGTCAAGTGTGAGTCATGGCCCTACTCCTCTGAGCTGTGGGAGTCCTAGTATACCCCTGCCTCTCCTCATACAGCCCTGCAGATGGCTATGTGCACATTCAGGCTCTTTGCACTTGACCTATGTTAATGACCGTGCATACTTCTGCGGCCCTCAGTGTGCTCAGGCATGATTCGAAACCCACCTCGCATGTGAACTCATTTCAGCCTCACAACAACCCCATGAGGTGGACATGCTTCGTGTCCCAGTTTTTAAATGAGGAAACTGAGGACCGGGGAGGTGGAGTGACTGAACTCCACAGCCCATCTCCAGACCCTGTGGTTTTAACCTTGACGGCATGTTTTTCTCTTACAGACTAAGGAGGTACCTAGGAAATGAGCGCTTATGCTAATATCATTTAATAATTTTCTTTTGGTAATCTTAACACCATCTGAGATTTGCCGGGCACTTTTTACATGCTGAACCTATTTCTGATGATGCTCTTGAGGGACTGAACCCATTTGTCAGACAAGAAGGCTATGGTCTCGAGAAGCAACCACATTCTAGGTCGTGGCAGAGCTTGAGTCCCCTTCTGAGATGTCTCTGTGGCTTCTGAGGCCATCTCCCTACCAAGCTGGAGGAGGCTGGGGCCAGGGCTCTGAGAAGTTTCCCCGTGGCCCATGGGTTTGGCCGTAGCTCTGATGGTCCAGACACCAGCCAGGCTGGGTCTCCTGGGCAGCAAAAGGAGCAGAGGGTCCCCTTGTCCGGTTCTGAGTCCTGGGCAGGGGACCTTAATGAGGAAGGAGCACACATTTGCAGCTGCAAGTTGAACTGGGCATATGGGCCGTCCCCAGCTAAGTCTGACAGCAGGTCATCTGTAAAATTGCTAAGTTAAAATAGCACAGTCATTACCCACCACCGGGCCAAAAATAACCAGGACCGGAACAGGGCTGTGGACTCAGGCCTGTATTTGCCTAGGGGCCTCTGGGAGTTCTTCCTGAAGTCCCAGGCTCTTCCTAGGAAGGAGCGCGTGGCCTCCGGTATGTGGATGGTGAGCAGACGTGAACTTTGTGTCTTATCAAGTGTGCTCTTAGGTGTTGCTTTCTTCAGGGAGGGCGTGGGAGACCTTACACTTTATTGAAAAGGTGAGTCATACCTAAAAGTACAGTAGCCTAGGGGGCGCCTGGGTGGCTCAGTCTGTTGAATGTCTGACTTCAGCTCAGGTCATGATCTCATGGTTCATGAGTTCGAGCCCCGCCTCGGGCTCTATGCAGACAGCTCAGAGCCTGGAGCCTGCTTCCAATGCTGTTGTCTCCCTCTCTCTCTGCCCCTCCCCCACTTGCGCTCTGTCTCTCTAAAAAAAAAAAAAGGTACAGGAGTAGAGGCAGGGTTCCCTCGCTAGATGGGTAGGAGGATCTTGCTGGGCCTGAAACAGCAGGGTAATGGGAAAGGGGAAAGGGCGAAGCAGAGCGAGCACCATTAGACAGGAAGGCACCTTCTCCAGTTCCTGGGGGAGACAGACATGAATGGAAGTCTTTCAAGAGGAAGGCACGTGGGAGACAGCTGCTGGCTATCGGTGATGTGGCTATAGGAGGAAGAGAAGGAAATCCACACTCACGAGAGGCACAGGCAACCCACAGACAGGAGGGATGAGGCCCCATCAGGAGACAGACGGCGGGCAGGCCCTCTGCTAAGCACATTGCATTTTATTATCTCATCAGAGGGTCGAAACAGCAGCCCTGTGAGCTGGGGACTGTTGTTTCCCCCATTGTATAGATGAGAGAACTGAGGCTCAGGGAAGGTAATTCGCTCAAGATCACTCAAGGTCAGAATTGGGATTCTAGGGTTTAGGCCTTTGCTCCTAATGGCTAGGCAATCTTGCCTTAAAGAAGGCTTCCTGAATGAGGCTGGATACAAGGGGTTTCAATTAAACCAAGGGAAAGGCATTTCTGATAGAAGGAACTACTTGAGCAAAGGCATAGAAGTGGGAAAGTAAGTGTTACGTCAGGAGGAAGAAGTTCTACGAGGTTGGAGCTTCCAGGTGTGAGTTCCGTGTTGTGTGTGCATGTGCCTGTCTGTGCACGCAGGGATATTATGGGAGGGGAAACTGGAAAACTCGTGACCCCCCCAGTAGTCATTGTGAGAATTGCCTCTAGTGGATTGGGAGCCAGGGGCAGAGGGGGAAGCTCTGACTTGCTGTGTGATCTTGCACAAGTCCCATCCCTCTCTGGGCCTCAGTTTCATCATCTGTCATGTGAGGAGTTCTGGCAAAGAGTCGCCAACGGTGATGAGTGGCAGCCAGTCCACCAGGACCCTCGTCATGCAGGAGGCCACAGAATAGGGGAAGGGTCAGGCCAGGGAAGGAAGAATGCAGAACATGCCAAACATTTCAGAGGTCAGGGAGGACTGGGGAATGTTTTGACAGCAAAGCGGTCATCTGTGACCTTGGCAAGCTTTGGCCCTTTGGAATGGAAGGAGCGGAAGTGGCTTTGGAGAGGGGCCAGGAAAGGCTGAGCCTGAGGAAATGGGAGAGTGGGGACATGAAAATGGGGGGAGCAAGGATGTTTGCTGTAGAGCAGGGATGGATAGTGAGAGGAACAAGGCCACCCCTGATTCGATTAGTGTTGCCTGCCTGGAGCCTTGTATTGAGAAACAGCCCAAAGCCTTTAAATCAGAGGGAATAGAGCTGCAGTTGATTGGTGATGTCTGCCAAGGACACTGGACAGCATGTAGTTCTCCATTCTTGCTTAGATGTCTGCTGGGTTGAAAGTGCTGGTCTTAGTACCTTACAGAGGGGAAGCCTAAGGAATTAGGAATTGTGGGAGGAAATTTCTCTGGCTCCAGGAACTTCTTCCTCAAGTTTTGCTAAAATCAAGGTAATTTGCCTCATGGGAGATAATGTCAGCTAATGGTCAGGAGCTTGGGCTTGAGAGTCAGAGAGAGAACCAGGCGATGTGATCGATAACTCTTTGAGCCTCCCTTTCCTCTGTGAGCCGGGAGTGGTAGAAAGCCTGCTTGCAAGGTAGCTGTGAATGCTGGAAGTAGCAGTAAGAGCTGCTTTGTGATTACTGTTATCTTTGTTACTTGATAGTTCTGTTCTGAGGGGGTGGTATTCTTGGTTTCTCTGAGAACAAGGCTCGAGTCTGAGTTGCTTCGGGATCCCCATCATGGGACCGGGACACCTCAGGGATTTTCTGACTCCTTTTTGGAGGATCAAATGAAATAGGCTCGCGATGGATACAGCAGAGGATAAGGTCACTTTGGGGTCTTCTCAGCAGGGACTGGGCCTCATGTTGGGGTGGTGGCCCACGGGCACGGGCCGGAGGGCAGTGGGCCAGGTGCCAGAGCTCACGATGGGGTGGAGGCACTGCAGGCCTGAACTGTCCAGGTCATTTCTTCGCTCAGCAGATACGCTCCGCTGCATGTCAGGCTCTGGATACCAGGCTCTCAACAAGTCCCTGCTCACCTGGGTCTCAAATAGGGGGACCAGGTGTACCTGTAAGTTCTAAGACACACCCTCCCCCAACACACATGGATTCTTTTCCAGATAAGGAACCAGTCTCTGAAAGAGACAGCGGCTTGTTCAAGTCAAACCCAGAGAGACGTGGGTGTACAAGGCTCCTTCTGGCTGGCGGAGAAGGAGGCAGAGCCCCCAGAGGACTAGAACTCCAGGACACTTGTTGTAAGGGGCGAGGCCCAATAGCACAAGAACCCTAGAGCCAGGCTGTGCCTTGTAGGTGGGCCCACTGCCCTACCTGAGCCTCATCTGCTCTGGTGCCAGCGATGCCCAGTCCTGTGCTCTCTGCCTGTGGCTCTTCCTTCAGAGCCCCTGAAGGCCCCTGGAAGAGAGCAGGGAGGGCCCCTGGAAGAACAGGATTGTCCCAGCTGCCCTCCCAAAAAGCAGTCCAGGGGAACTGGCCCTGGCCATCTCTGTGGTGGCCTCTGGAAACCGATTCCTGTCCGGATCCCATCCTGTCTAGAATTGTGTGTGAGCTGAAGAGCTCACAGTTTTCTCATCTGTGAAATGGGTAAAATCATAATACCTCCTCCATTGCAGTATCAGGCTGCTGACTGGCAGGATCGTGGGGTGTTTATTCGTCCTGATTGGGCTTGGAAGGATTCCTAGAAACCTTCCTTCCTTTTCTGTCCTCATTGCTTCCCTGCCGAGTAGTCTGTGGGCCTCAGCCCCTAAGGAGGAGCCCTGGGGATGGTTCTAACCATTCACGAAGACCAGGCTTCCCCTCTCGTTCCTCTGCCTGCTCAGGGTCCTCTCTCACGTGAGTGGGGTGAGATGGGGGCTTTCCAGTTCTCTCCCCTACCCGGGTCTGTTCCCCTACCCCATGAGCTGGGCTCATCCCCGCCTTTTCCAACCTTCCTGGCCTCAGTTGTGGATACATTTCAGAGGACCCTTCCTGTGTCCCCTGCTCTGGACTTGAACCTGGGTTTACTGATTCAGGCAGCCTTCATACAATGTCATTTGAGCAATCACTGCCCCCCACCCCCACCCTGCGCCTCTCCTCCTCTCTGTGGCTATGCAGAGCAGGCTGGGGCCGTGGAACCACTCGGTTTGAATTCTTTTCTGACTCCAGCCCTTTACTCGCTGTGTGTAGACTTTGTCTGATGACTTTGCCTCTCTGAGCCTCAGTTTCCTAATCTGTAGAGTGAAGATAAAATCCATCTCACAGGATTGTATGGAAGATTCAGTAAGAAAATAGCACAGTTTGCTCTCAGCAAGTTGGTGTTAAAGTTAAGAGTTGGAACTTGATGGGCTCTGATTTGGGCTCTTGTACTTGCTGGCTCTGTGGACTTGGATGAGTGATTTTACCTCCCTGGGCCTCAGCGTCTTTGTCAGTGGGTATGATAAGAGGGACTACCTCGTAGATTGTCCTAAGGAGTAATGAGAATATTTTATGTAAGACTTCTTGCCATGGCGCTTGGTGGGTTATTCCTTTATTGTAGGTAAAAACTATAATAAAGGTATGTTATTATTATATATTATTATAATATATTATTCCTATATTAAGGGTAAAAACCTATAATGATAGGTGGGCGACCCCAGTGCCCCTGGCTGGGACTTCCTAGGAAATGCGGGCCAGGAGGATAAGGTCTGAGGCTGTGCTGTCCCCCTCCTGCCCAGAGCTGCCGGAGAACTGGACGGACACTCGGGAGACACTGCTCGAGGGGATGCTCTTCAGCCTCAAGTACCTGGGCATGACGCTGGTGGAGCAGCCCAAGGGCGAGGAGTTGTCAGCTGCTGCTGTCAAGAGGATCGTGGCCACGGTGAGCCCTGCTCAGGGTGGGGGAGCTGTGAGCCCCGGGCCAGCTTCTCCTGGGGTGCCACTCCTCCCCTGCTTATTTCCTTGATCCGATGCATCTGAGCTGTTCTTGCCCTGAGTCCCCTTGCATCCGGCCTAGGGACTCTGGCAGAGAGGCTTGTGGGGTCAGGGTCAGTGTCCTCCTGTTCTGTTGTTGTGGCCATGGCCTCTCCTAGTCTCCCCTCCCCCAGTCCCGGTCCCCTGCCTAAGGGTTAGTGACTTAGTGCCAGGGAGTAAGGGGGAGGTTGCCTTCACCCAACCATTTGCCCTGTGGCCCGAGGGAGAGGGTAACCCACCAGAGACTGGATCTCCCCGCTCCCCTGCTCCCCATCTTGAGTAAGCATGGCCCTGTAAATGCACCTCCCTTGGTGGTCTCAGACCCCTCAGCTCAGACCCTCACAGGTACAGTGGGTGGAGTGGAGGGTCCCCAGGTGTGGCACTGCTGGGTTGTGATAGCCCACTCAGCGCTCAGAGTCTGAAGTCCCTCCTAGCTGTGTGTCCTTGGGCAGGTCCCTTAACCTCTCTGAGTCCATTTCCTCCTCGGAAGAAGCTCTGTCGCCTATAAGATGACTCAAGGTCCAGTGGCTGGCAGACAGCGGGTCCTCCATGAGCAGCAGTTGTCCCTGTGTTTATTAGAAGAGGGCATTCCTGACTAATGTCTTCCCTGGTTTGTCTGCGTCTCTAAGCTGAGACCTCACATGGGCCTCAAGTCTGGGACTTAGACCAGGCAGGTGTAGCCCATGAGAGTAGGTCCCAAGTGAGGCAGGCAGGCTGCTCTGACTCACGTCTATCCCAAGGCCAAGGCCAGCGGGAAGAAGCTACAGAAAGTGACTCTTAAGGTGTCACCACGGGGGATTATCCTGACTGACAACATCACCAACCAGCTGATTGAGAATGTGTCCATTTACAGGTATGCTCAGCATTGCCCACATTCACTCTGCCACTTGGGGGGGGAGGGGCTGGGGTGCCCTTTCTGAATCCAGGTGCCAGCACTTCCTGTCTTGGAAGCCTGTTTCCTTGTGTGTTTGTGGGGGAGGAACCAGATCCCGCCTCACGGTGCTGTTAGGAAGTGCTGAGTGCACAGCCCCCGGCTCACCGTGGGTGCTTGGTTAAAGGCAGTTGCTGCTGTCATGAGTCGTTGCAGCAGGCAGCTGAGGTCTAGTCAGGGCTAGGACCCCCTCCCAAGCATGCTGCTGAGTCAGGCTTGGAGCAGAGCACTGCAGAGTCATAGCCTTTTCCTTCTGCTGTGAATTAGCAGCTCAGCTCTGGACATATGGCCAGGCATTCAGGGAGGCCTCAAGGCAGAGTCTGAGGCCAGAAAGTAAATGGTATGGAGGCAGGGGTGGGGAGGGTGGCTGTTCTCAAGGAGGCAGAGCCTAGACCTTGGAACCTCAGACTCTTCCCACTCCCCCTCTTGGCTGATCAGTTGTTGGATCTCAGTGCTGTAAGGGACAGTCCATTTTATAGATGGAGACACTGAGGCCCACGGTGATGTAGTCGCTGAGCTGGGAACAGGACACCGAGGCTAGAGTTCTGTCCAGCAGGCACCCAGCTGCCAGGCACTCTTCCGCCCTCTTGCTTTGTCTCCAAGCAGGTGGCTTTACCCGCTGGAACATAAGCAGTACTGGGGGTGGTTGTTGGGGGAGGGGATGGTGTTGGAGGGTGTGGTTTTAGAGTTTCTGGCCAGTGTCTTCCTCTCACCTCTCTGACTCTGCCTGCCTCCTTTAACCAGGGGAGGCCTCAGTCCCTGCTTTCAAGGAGGGAAAGGAGGGGAAGAAATAGGAGATTAGAGTATTTATTTCCCAAGAGGGCAGAGAAGAAGGGGCCTGCCTGAGGAAACCTGGGAAGGCCTCCCAGGAGAGGTGGCAGGAAGCTTGATCCTCTGAGATAGAGAAGAGGGAGCTGCTGGCCTGGGGGTCTTAATGGTGCTGATCCCTGTGTCCAGGGCTGTGACTGAAGCTGTGCTGAGCTCCTGTCCCATCTCTGGGCTGCCGGTTCCTTCAGATGGAGATTCCCAGGATGAGCAGCCATCAGGGAGGCAGCAGGCTGGGGGTGGGAGTGGCTGTGAGGAGGGTGGGCAGGTTTTCTAAGAGGAGGGAGCTGCTGTGTGCTCCTCCTGGATCCCCTGGGCCGACCTCTGGGCAGGGGTGTGACTAGAGGGCGGAGAGGGGAGGCCTGGTGCAGGGCATCGGTGGGCGAGGCGGTGTCCTGCTTCCCCTTCCGTCTGGTCAGCACAGGCCCTGAAGGGCAGCACAGCAGTGGTTATGGCCCCTGGAATCTGCAGGTGAACACAGGTCTCAGCTCTGCCACTTAGCTTGGTGGTCTGAGACCGTTAGCGGTTTTCTCATCTGAAAAGTGGAGATGATAATGGAGCCCATCTCGGGCAGCTCTGAGAATTAAATGAAGCGGTATCTGGAACTTGGCCTGGGGTGCAAGAAGGGCTTAGCAATTGCCGTTTTGAGGTGTTGCTCCATAGGGGCAGAGGGAGGTGCCCTCAGTCTTTCCTTCCACTCCGTCCTGCCAACCCCACCCTGCCATGGCCCGGAATGCCAAGGCAATGTCTTCAGAGTCTTGCCCTCTGGGGATGGGATAGCAGGCTCCGGGGGACCCCGAGGGAGATGCCTTACGGGCATCCCAGGTGTGGTCAGGCCCCATGCTGGGGTTTGGGGACACTCCCCACTTGCCTTTCAGGATCTCCTACTGCACAGCAGACAAGATGCACGACAAAGTGTTTGCCTACATCGCGCAGAGCCAGCACAACGAGAATCTCGAGTGCCATGCCTTCCTCTGCACCAAACGGAAAATGGTCAGTGGGGAGAGGCTGGGCCTAGGCAGGCTTTGGCTTTGCCTTGGCAGCCCTGCCCTCGGGGGCCCTGTTTGGTAGCGGGGGCAGGACCCAAAGACGGCATCACTTAATAGGAAGTAGGAAACCCCCCCAGGACCCCCAAGAGGATGCCGAGAGCACTGAGTAAGGCCGCAGCCAGTGGGTGGCTGCCCTGGGTGGTCAGCCTGGCCGGTGGGCAGCGACGGGCCCGTGTCCCCAGTGAGTGCCCTGGCACCTTCCTCTCTGTAACATGAGTGATTGGATTTAAGGTTGGGGTGGGGATGGTGTGTAGCGTGGTCTGGGGGTACAGGGCCTTGTAGGACCTAGTCCCTGGGGACTGGTGATCACAGGGTCAGGGGGATGGCAGCAGGACCTGGCTTGCTGTAGCCGGAGTGGGGAGGGAAACAGCCATTTTCTGCACCAACTGTGTGTCGCCCACGGTGGTTGGCCTTAAAGGATCCTCTTGTTTAACCCTCTGTGAGGGGGCAGCTGTTACTGTCTTCATCGTTTTTATCTTTAATGAGGAAGCAGACTCACAGAGGTCAGCTGTTGCTGATGGTGACACAGCGGGCTGGGCAGAGCGAGGGTTTAAACCCATGTTCCCCCCGCCCCCACCTGGGCATGACTGTGAGGAGCCACGGGCTCCTTGCCCCGTTTTCCAGGCCACTCCTTGGCGAGGTCTGGCTGAGATGAGTGGGAACCTCCGTGGTCTCTGGGCATTTGTCTCGAATGTTGGGACAAGCAGCCAGAGCGTGTCCGCCTTTAGTATTGAGGCTTTCGTTTCGAAGACCCCTGAGGCCTGAGCATCTGCTCTGTGACGAGGTTCCTGACATTTACTTATTTAGTGTTGGCCTCTGTTGACCTCTGTATATGGAGCCCAGAGCCCCAGTCCCCGTGCCCTGTGGTCCTTGGAGCCAAGGAGACAGGATTTTCTCCCCTACCCCTCTCATCAAGGACGTGTCAAGGACATCACTGTCTTGGAGTGTCTCCCCCCCGGCCCCCTAGGCCTCCTGCTACGCATCAGGGCCTGCTTGAGGTCTTGTGTTAGTTTCTGATAGCTGCTGTAAGAAGTCACAACTATAGTGGTTGAAAACAACCCACTGCTACGGTCCTGGAGGTTGGAAGTCTCAGGTGGCTCAGCGGGGCTGTGTTCCTTTTGGAGGCTCCAGGGAGGAACACACTTCTTGCCTTTCTTAGTCTCTAGGGGCCACCATTCCTGGGCTCTGGGCCCCTTCTCCAGCCAGCCAGCCAGCGGCGGAGCACCTCCCAGTCTCCCTCCTACTTCTGTTGCCACATTGCCGTTTCAAGCTCTGACCACCCCCTCCCTCTCACAAGCCCCCTGCAATTGGGCCGCTGGGGAATCCAGGATGCTCGCCTACGTCTCAACACCCTTTGCGCAGTCACACCTGTAGAGTCCCTGTTGTGATGCCAGCCAGCACTCACAGGCTCCGGGGATTAGACAGGGACATCTTTGGGGGCCGTGATTCAGCCCACCACAGGCCTTGTTCAGGGAGCGCTCTGGGGCAGGTCAGATTAGGGCTCTGACCCTAGCCAATGTGCTGGGTGTGACAGTGGGTAAGACCCTGCCCTTCCACGGGCTGTCTGCCCATCAGCAGAATGAAGAGGTCGCCTCAGTGACCTCTGGGATTATTCTGAAAGGCCCCTTTCTTCTGTGCACCTCATTTCTTTCCTGCAGACTTGGCGTCGCCAGCCACTCACCCAAGGCCTCGTGATGCCCCGGGTCCCCGAGCTGCAGTGGCTTCTCCCATGACGGCCTTGTTCTCACAAACAGTGACTCTTGGCTTTGTCTCTTATGAGGCCACACTGACTTAAAAATACAGGCTCGTTATGTCCCCATTGTTTGTCTCTTCCTCCCCACTGGCCAGAGCAGGCGCTGGGCTGGGGCGGCTGGCCCGCGTCCACTGCTGCAGTTTGGACCCTGGCGCGTAGGGGCTCCGAGCAGCAGAGGCTTCCTCTGGGGAGGGAGGTCGGAGGTAAAAGAGAGCAGATGCTGGCCCAGCAGCTCAAGGGAGGCCTGGGCTTGGGTCAGAGGACTTTAGACAGGCCTGCCCCAGGCCAAGAGGTCAGTTATTGAGGGAAACAGCGTGCCCATGGCAGCGCCCTGTTCCGGCACAGGGAATGGCCGCTGTGGGACACCTGGGCCCAGGCTCCTCCCTTGTCCTGGCACATTATCCTCTGTGGCAGGGGCTGATCGGGTCGATCATGGCGTAACCACCCTTTCTCAGCTGGCCTCCCCACTCCGAGCCTTGGGGACGCCCCTCCAGGCCATCTGATGCAAAGGTGGTGTTCTCATGTCCCTGCCTGAGGCCTCAGCTGAGCCCATGCTGGAGCCTGGCCATGTTGGAGATGCCAAGATTCTCGGGGCTTGGTGGGCATTTCTCAGATGGAGGCAGAAGGTGAAATGGGGCCCTCGGGTTCTGCAGTCCATCTGCTGACAAGTGTCACTTGTCACTCCACAGATGGCACTGCTGCCTGTCCGGGCTAGGCCCCATGTTGGGCACTGGGGCCCCAGGGAATCGGCCGTAGAGATACCAGCAAGATGGCTGGGGGAAAGAGCCGGGATTCAGTGGCTGGTGGACCTGGCTCTAGGGTGGAGGTTATTAGTCTTTCTGGGGGTCCATAAGACTTCCCAGAGAAGGAGATATTTTGAATCAAGCTTTGAGGGCTGAGTAATGAGTGGGAGTTTGGCAGCCAAGAGGAAGGGGGTAGGGGTGGTGAGCGGCTGTGTGCACCCAGCACAGGAATCAGCACGTGCAGACACAGGTGCAGAATTAAATGGTATGATTGGTGGGTGAGGACGCCCGTGTCACTGGAGCTGGGGTGTGGCAAAGCAGAGTCAGCCTGCTGGGGGAACTTTGAATTTGAATGCTGTAATAGCCCTCGTTGCTTTTGGCCAGTGGCCCACCATCTCCACATCCCCACCCTTTCTCTCCTGGACGTTTGCATGAGCGAGAAGCCTGTGGCCACTCAGGGGGAGGGAGGAGGGGTTCTTCTCTGCATCATCCACCGGTTCACCTGAGCTTGGGCAGCACACCACCAGGTCTCCCCCCGTGACTGCCGTTGGCCACGGTCAGGATGAGCTCTTCTGCAAGGAACTGTTTCCATCCACCCTGCTGGGAGGCCTTGGCCAGCACTGTGGCCTGACTATGGGTTCTAAGCAAAGGTGGGGTTAGGGCTTCAGTGCGGGGGTCCTGGGGGTGCAGTGCAGGAGGACTGACAGTAAGCAAGGGGACACCCCCTAATTCTAACTCTAGCAGGCGGAGGCAGATCTGCTCTCCCTCACGTGGCCCCTGGCATTCCTCGAGTAATCCTTTTAGTTCAGGATTTATGCTGCTAGGGCAGCAGAGCCGTAAGGGACACGTGGCCTGACTTGGTGTGAGTACCAGGCTAGGATCTGGGATCCTGGGGCATCCTGCGCTAGACCTGGCCCCTTGAAGGAGCCAACAGCTTGGTTCCTGGAAATGAGACAGGGACGCGAAACACTGAGTGTTAGAACCCAATCCTGGCCAGAAGAACGCCCGCCACAGACCGGATGCGTTCTGCGGAGGGGTGGGCTCGCAGCCTGTGCGCTGAGGGTGGGAAGGCCTCCCCGGGGGCAGGCCCGAGAAGTTCTTTGCTGTGACACTGCCCGGGAGAGCAGGACCCACCCTGCTCCCAGTCCCTGCCCAGCCTGGGCTTGCAGCCGCCTGCACACATGTGTGTCCCGGGTTATATTTGGTTTACTTACAGCTCCGAATTTCAGGGCGAAAGGGCCGGGATGTATGCAAATGAACAAGTCGATTTATGCAAAAACAGTATCAGGCTTGTGTCCGCAGATATCCTGGAGGCAAAAATCACGCGTTTCCATCTCTCTGCCACCTTAGGTGACCAGCCCTTTCTTGGGTGTCTGGTGATTTGACTCCAGCTGCTAATCAGCCCATATTTTTAGTTCATGGGCAATTCTCAATGGTAACTGGGTCTATTAAACTTGATTCCGACGTGACAGCTTAAATTGTAAACAGCTGTGAAGAGTTTCATACTTAATTACCATATTTAAGTTTTGCCATAAAGCGCCCGTACTTCCATCAAAAATGTAAATGACGGAGACATTCAAATGAGATTTTATACTTCGTGAAGTTTAATTGGCATGGATCAGTCAGCTTGTTTAAGGATTTTTAAATTTAAAAAAAAAGAGAGTTTTAAAGGCAGTAGCCACAGACTCATTTCTCAATTAAATCAAGTTGTCTGGCAGATAGTAAGAGAGTGGGCTCTGAGGCTGGTTATGCCTGAACTTGTGCACTTGAAAGAATCTGGTGCTTTCTTCCCTAGGCCCAGGCTGTCGGAAGGAAGCTAGATGCCGCTTCCGGCTACGGCCGAGCTCTGGGACTCCTGTTCCCATAAGCTGGGCTGTGATTAACCCTGAACTGGAAGCAGAGAGAGGAAGAGGCCAAGATGCATGTGGGCTGGGGTGGGTCCTGGTTGAGCGAGGCCTCGGGAAGCCTGCCCCTCGGGCAGATGGAGTTCAGCCAGCCCATTGCACCTCTGGACAGCTTTGGCCTGCTCTGGGGATCAGGGGTGTTTAGACTCTGCCTTTAGGGAGCACCCAGGTAGAGTGACACAGGCATGTGAACTGATGACACTCATATGCATGATGCCAGAGAGAGGTAGGTGGGGCTGTGGGGTGCCAGTGCTGGTGACCTGAGAGAGCTGGTGACATCTGAGTTGGTTCTGAAGGGGCAGATGGGAGTTCTTCAGGGGTGAAGGGCCAAGATGTGGCCCGCCTCTTACAGGTATGTTATAGCACTGAATGGTTTTGGTCTCTTGACACAGGTACACGTTGACGTTTTTACTCCCGCCAGGAAATGTATAAGCCGCCTCCTCCCTTTTTGGGATCCAGTTTTAAGTCCCCCAACCCAGCCTAGGGCTAACCAGAGTCCAGCCTTTGCCTCTGGCTGTGGCTCATTGAGGCAGTGACTGCACCCTTTCCAGTCCTGGCTTTTCTGTTGTCTGATTTCAAGGGCTAAGTTACTGTGTGAAGTCCTCAGGTAATTAGGGAGGGCTTCTTGGAGGAAGTCAGCCTCCTAGTTAATTGAATATAGGGAAGCCCAAAGGGAAGAGGAAAAAAGGTGGAGATGAACAGCCATTGCAAAGGTCGGGGCTGGAAGAGAGGTGGGGGACATGGCTGGGCTACAGGTGGTGAACTGGGGCCCCAGCTGCCTGGAGGGCTTGTGGCTTCCTTATATCCCGGGCTTCTTTGGTGACCTGGGAGGGGCCAGGACTCTGCCCTTGCCTGTCTGACAGTTCAGAGCCTCAGCCTCAGGCCTGCATTTCTGACTTGCTGTCACCTGCCTGACGTGTGCCCCTCCCCTACCCCACTTCCTGTTTTTCAGGCCCAGGCTGTCACCCTCACAGTAGCCCAGGCCTTCAAAGTTGCCTTCGAGTTCTGGCAGGCGTCCAAGGAAGGTGAGCCTTGATCAGGGACACTGTGGTGGGTAGGGGGTGGGGCCGGGGAAGGCTGGCAGAGTAGAGCGGGGTCGGGGGTGGGTGGTGAAGGCCCTGGAGTCCAGGCCCGACTCTCCACCTCATCACCTGCCTGGTTTGTGACTTTGGACAGGTCCCTTCACTTCTCTGAGTCCCTGTTCCCCCTGTGAAGAAATGGGAACAGCTGTCTCCCTCCCCCCAGGGTGATTGTGAGGATTAAGTCTACAGAGTTTCTCTCCTCTCTGCCTGCCCCCTGAGAGTGGCCGCAGACCACCCCTGCCCAGCGAGTGCTGGGACCGGGGCTCCAACGCACTGTGCCTTGGTCCCACAGAGAAGGAGAAGAGGGAGAAAGCCAGCCAAGAAGGAGGGGACGTCCTGGGCGGGGGCCTCCGTGACAGCACCCCATCACTGAAGAGCCGTGAGTCGTGGGCAGGGCGTGGGGCCAGAGTCAGCTGCATGTCCCTGGGTCTGGGCCTGTCCTTCATCCAAAGAGCCCCATTCCCTCCTGGGCTGGGCCAAACCCGTGTGTGTGTGTGTGTGTGTGTGTGTGTGTGTGTGTGTGTGTGTGTTTTATTGTTAAATAAATAATACATCTTCTTTATAGATAAATTAGAACATATGGTTAGAAGGGAAGGTTGCTCATTTTGGTGCATGTTCTTGCAAATATGTTGCTGTGCAACTGTATAAATATATGCATACATCTCTCTGTATACATTTAACATCCTGTTATGTGATCTCTTAAAAAAACTTAAAGTCTGTTGTAAATGTAAAATTTGCAACCTGAAATGTTAGCTGGGGAGAGGTTCTCACCCTGCGGGCAGCCATCCAGCTGTTTCGGGAGGTGCCCAGCTGGGGCTCCGGGTGGGCCGGTTGACAGGCCTGGGAAGGCCATGTCCGAGGAGGGAGTCAGGACCAGGACAGCCCCGGAGTCTCCGGGACCGGGCTGGGAGACGGGGCCTGGAAACAGGTGCTCCCTCCCACTGACACACCTGACCGGGCTCCTTGTAGTGGTTGCCACTGGGAACCTGCTGGACTTGGAAGAGACGGCCAAGGCCCCGCTGTCCACGGTCAGCGCTAATACCCCTAATGTGGATGAGGCACCGAGGCCCCAAGCCTTGAACAATAGCAACGTTGTCTGGGTGAGTGGTCAGAGGGACCCCGTAGGGGTCCTGATCCTGGTTGAGGCCTGAGGCTGCTCCGGGACCCGAGCTCTGGTGCACATGACTCCAGTCCTCCGGGAGGGCCAGACCCAGCCCGGCAGTGCCCAGGCCCAGGGTGGGGGGCAAACAATGTCCGCTTTGAACTTGGGGCTGCCTCCCCGGCAGGCTTGGCTCCCTTCACAGCTGTCTCCTCACAATGGCCAGCCTCTTGGTCTGAGCATCCATAGCTCGGCCTACCACAGGACCAGCCAAAGGCTCCCTTGTTCTTGGCGTGGGCACGGTTTGCTCCTGACGCCCCTCCCTACCCCGCCATCTCCGGGAGGAGCCCGAGGCCTGGCCGTCAGGCGTGAGCCCCTGACTTGCTCTGTGACGCCAGGCAAGCCCCCTGCCCTCTCTGTGTCTCAGCTTTTTCATCCCCTCAATAAAGATGATGACCTCTGCCTGCAGAATCTCCCAGAGGAAACTGGGTGGGTTTTTTTTTATTATCAAAATTAAAATTTTTTTTTCCTTTGAAAATAATTTCAGACCTACCAAAAAAGTTGTAAAAACAGTACAAAACATTCCTATTCACCCTTCATCCAGATTCTCCAAATGTCAGCATCTTCTGTAACCAACATTACAGTGATCAAAATCATTACCATCAATCTGATGCTGTTATATAATCTACAGGCCATAGTCACATTCCTCCATGTGTCCCCCCTATGTCCCTTTTCTGGTCTAGAATCAATTGCAGGATCGTTACTTTGTCATGTCTCTTTAAAAAAAATCTGGAGTGTTGGTGGACTTGAAAACTTCTACCCCATTCCCTGCTGGGGGCCACCTGTAGGCACCACGAGCCTGTTCTCTGCTTTTGGGAACCGCCCTTGGCACCCGGCCCTCTGCTCAGGGAGGCACCAGGGAGCCCTTGCCAGCTGTTTTCCCACCTAGGCTGTGGGATACCTGCCATCACTTAATCCCTCATGAGCTTTGAATTCTGGCTTTGCTCCTGGAAGTGGATGAAAGCAAGAACACCGTCTTACCTACCCTCTTGCTCTCGGAACTTGAAAGCCATAGACCTCATCCGGTCCAACCCCCTCATCTTACGGAAGGAAAAGCTGAGTCCCAAAGAGGAGCAGCAGCTTGCCCAAGGTGTCCCTCGGCCAGTGGCAGAGCTGGGAATTATACCCACCCAGGTGCTCTTTCTCCTGCTCCGCATCCCAGGTTTGGGTCCCTGGGTTGAGATGCACGTGGCAGTAGCCAGGCGGGCGGGGAGGGGCCTACAGTGCCTCTTCCCCCCAGGTACCCGCCAGACCCCTACGCTTGTGTCCAGAGTCCCCGTGGCCTAGCCGGGGCTGGGACAGACCCTGGCTGTGAGCAGCCGCTCCCCCGCTGAGGGTTCATATCTCCTGCTTTGTTTTCCCCAAGGAGCTGGATGATGGCCTGGATGAAGCATTTTCAAGGTAATTTTAGCTGGGCTCCTTGTGCTGGGGAAGGAGGCCTGGCATTTGTGGGCTGCTGCTCTGGGGTCCTCTGCCTGTCTGAGAACATGAACTCTGATCTTCTCCAGAGCAAAAATCTCTACTCGAATACCTCCAGGGATGGGGAACTCACTATCTGGGGTTGGCTGCGTCTGCTAAAAAGCTCCTGCTATTGAATCAAAAACTATTCCTAGTGGCTTCTCTGCCACAGTCTGGGCTGAACTGAATGATCTACAGCTCAGGTTGACTTCCTCTGCCTGCACCTGGTGTGGCCTTTAGAACCTGGCTTTTTGCAGGCTTTGTTCCCTCCAGAGGTTTTGCACTTGTGGAAAGGGGCAGGGAGGGGGCAATGCTTAATGAAGCCCATGGAGCAATACATAGAGGAGGGGTGTCAGGCACAGCGAGGAGGCATCTGGGTCTTGTCTGAGGGTGGTGGCATTTCCCCATCTCCGCAGGGGCCATCGCTGTAGCCATGGCTACCTTCAGTTCAGGGACATGGCCCTGAAAGGCTGGGCTGAAGAGAGGTCTGGGCAGCTCAGGGTTCTGAGCACTGGACCTGTGCAGACCTGACTCCCTGGGCAGCCCCCTGCAGCCTTCTCCTTCCTTCCCAACCCCTCCCTGCTAGAGCCTGGCAGACACCCCTTGGCCTAGCCCAGGGGGTGGGAGGTGGGTGATCAGTACTTTCATGGAGGCAAAGACATTCTTTTCACTCTCCAGCCTGCTTCACTGACTTCACTGACTACAGCGCCCTCATTTTAAGAAAATCTTCCATTTGCTTGTTCCAGATTCCTTAAGTATCATGTGCCCTTTATTAACAACTTCGAAAATCAGCAGAGCATTAAACACGAAAGAACACCATCCTATAATCCCACAGCCCACACTTTTGGGCTTAATGCATGCTAATCCTATACATACACATTTTTTTTTTTTTTTTGCACTGATCAGCTCATGGTATTTGCCATCAGGGATACCGATTTTCACCTAACATTGGCATACCAAGAGCATTTCCCCAGGCTGTTAACAACTCCTTGTAAACACCTCTGCCCCCTCACATTCTTCTAAGGCCCTGGGCCATAATTTCCTTAACTCCCCCAATTCTTTGGATGTTTCAGTTCTCTTCTTTTTACGTCTCCATGTTGAAGGGCACTGTGTTGAACACCGCTCTAGCCAGCAGTCTCCTGCCGTCTCTGGCCCGCACATGCCCCTCCCTGCCTGTGCCAACGCTGCCCTTCCCCTCCCCCCTTTCCTGGTGGAGCTGGGGCGGGGTCGTGGAGCCTCTCTCTCCATGACAGGAATGTGACTGCCCCCCAGTGTTCTGAGCCATTGGGCCCTCACGGGTAGGCTCCGGTCAGAGATGCCACCTCTCCTGACATCATGGAGTTCTTCCGGCCCCCGAGGCCTGGCTTCTTTCCATCCATGCCCCCTCCCTCTGACCCTGGACTGGCTGCTCAGGCCCCCGCCGGCCCCTTTGGGGACCCTTGGCTCACACAGCTCTGCCTTCCAGGCTTGCCCAGTCTCGGACGAACCCTCAGGTCCTGGATACTGGATTGACAGCGCAGGATATCCACTACGCCCAGTGCCTGTCCCCTGTCGACTGGGACAAGCCTGACAACACCGGCGCCGAGCAGGATGACCTCTTCAGCTTCTGAGGGCCCGGGACTGGCAGGACACGTAACAGACCAAAGCCGCTTGTGGCGGGGTGGGGCCGGCTCCAGGACCCCCAGCCACCCTCTTCCCGGTGGCAGCACTGTGGGCCTGCAAATCAGAGCTGCGTCCAGTCAAGCAGGGGGAAAGGAGAAACTTTTTTTTTCGGCCACACTCTTTCCCTGAGAACTGAAGGATGCCTTGAATATTTATTCACTGACTCCTGGTTCAACTCGGAAGCCAGTTTTGCATCAGGCACAAGTGCAGTGTTTTACCAGCTTTCTGCCCTCTCCTGAGGAAGCTCGGCTCTGCTGTGGGTGTCAGGACGGTGACCAAAGCATTTCTTGTCCCTCCTCTTTTTCTAAGGCCCCGGATTTCCCTGGAGGCGTCCCCATTCCTTATAGAAAGCTGTCATCTTTTGAGCACGGGGAGGCTCCGTGGCCTCAGGGGAGTCCCGAGTCTGGTTCCAGGGCCCCAGCAGGCGTGCCTCCCCCCCACCCCCCACCCCCCACCGGCTCTGAGAGACCGAGGGGCAGCCCCTGACCAAAGACAACACACAGCTGGCACTTTAAACCACACATGTAGATGTGGCCCCCAGGGGGTCCTCGAAGGTGCTGCTTTGCACAGAGCTTTCTGTCTGCCTTCCTGCAAGGAGGACGTGAAGTCCCCGCCGTTGGTCCCTATGGGTGCTCGGAACCAGTGTCACTGGCTGTCCAGAAGTTCCCAGGGTCTGACTGCAACAGGGGGGGCCATCTCTGTGACTGCCCGTTGGGGTCCCCTGCCCTACCCCCTTCAGATTGAGCGTGTGCCCTCCTGTCCCGTCTGCCCGGCGTCTCTGAGCCCCGGTTCCCCATGCCTCCTGGGACAGTGTGTGGAGCCCAGCACCTAGACTCGGACAGGGCCTTCTGGTCGCCATGTTGCAGGTGAGGAAGCGGGCCCCCAGCGGGGAAGAGGTGGAGCGCAGAGTGGAACCAGCCCCCGTGCCGAAGTGGCCTTCTCCCCCTCTCTTCTAGCTCGCACCTCCTTCCTTTCTGGCTTTGTTGTCCTCCCGGGAACCAAAAACTCCAGCTATTTTCTGACCAAAATGTGTTTCATAACAAACCATCTGGTGCCTTTCCACGCAGAGCTGGCTTGAGCCTCCGTGCCCTGCTAGTTGTCTGGCTGCCGATTTCCATGAAAATGGAAGTATTGATGCTAATTCGGAGGGTGAAACAAAACCAAACTCTGGAAGCATCCCCCTCCTCCTGACTCTCACCCCTGGGTTGGGACCTGTTGGCGGCAGTCAGTCCTCAGAGTCTCCCTTCTCCCCGCCCCCTCCCGAGCGCATCACCCCTCGGGGCTCCCATCGGGGCTTCCAGGGTCCTCTCTGCCCAGAGGTGCCTCCCAGGCCTGGCCTCGCTGAGCTCAAGTCACTGATCACAGTTGGTGCATAGGAGACACAAACACACCGTTTCTCAGAACCTGCTTGTCCAAGCACTTGAATCAGCACAAAGACGGAAGTGCCCGGGCGAGGAGAGGGATGGTATTTGTAGAGTCTATGAGAATATGGGGTCACTCGTTTCCCTGCCCAGCCCTTCCTCATTGCCGCCCACCCCAGGCCTCCTTGGTATTGGCCCCTGCATTTGTTATGAGGCAGCACGTGTTGAGCCTGACAAGCTGTCCCTGGCAGGAGGATCTGGGGGCCCCCAAGAGAGGCCATGCTGTGTGTGTGTGTGTGTGTGTGTGAGAGAGAGAGAGAGAGAGAGAGAGTCAGACTTGGCCTTCGCGGTGGTCTCTGGCTGACAAGCCGTCGGGTATGCTCCCCTGTGCTCCGCGTGTGTGCAGAGGAGTCTTCTGCTTTACGTTGTGTTGCTGTTAAAGATGTTCTAACGAGGAAAAGAATAAGTAATAAAGGTTCTCGTTTTGAAATACAAAGAGCACTTGCAGGAAGCTGCCAGTTGCCACGTGGGAGCGTGGTTGGGCAGTTCCTACTTTTAGTGGTTATAACGGGCAGTGACCACAGGCCGAGGTGTGTGTGGGGGAATGGTGTGTGGACCCCTGGTGGGAGCCCCTTTTCACCTAGCAGATGTGGTGGTGTGGTGAGGTCATCCCTGGAGAGCCCCGCGAGGCCGCATCCATGATCCAGGGCCTCAGAGACCAAGGTCAGGGCGTCCCGGTCGGTTGAATGGGCATATGATGACGTGTGTGCCCACATGTGCGCTTTTCTTGGGGAGGGTGTCCACCATTCCCACCTCATTCCTGCATGGGTCTGTGACACCCATTCATTCGATAGACCCTCTGCTGAACACAGACTGGGCCTGGGGCTCGGTGCTGGGGCTGGCAGTCCCGACAGGGTCCACATGGGCTCCAGATGCAGGGCTGTGGTGTGACTGGGGACTGGGGCTGAGGACGGCAGGAAGTGTTTCAGTGACTTGGGAGACCCGAGATCTAGCTCAGGCAGTGACACTGCATCAGTCACTTCTTTCCAGAGCCGCAGTTTCCCCGTTTGGGAAGGGGGTTCCACAGGCTCCATGCCTCCCACCTCCCTGGGCTTTGTGAGACTCGGGGGTTAACCATTATGTCATTGTGGCTTCTGAGATGGCTCAGAGCTCAGCTCAGAGCAAAAGGCTTTTGGACCAGTTAGTTACATTTTAGCAGGTTCCACGCCCAATGTGGAGTTCAACATGGGGGCTTCAACTCCTGATCCAGAGATCAAGACCTGATCGAGACCTGATGTGGGGTTTGAACTTGCAACCCTGAAGTCAAGACCTGAGCTGCCATCAAGAGTGGGAATCTGGCTGAGCCACCCAGGTGCCCCTGGGCTAAGCACATTTAAGGAAGTCCAAGTAAAATTGATAACAAAGGCACCTGCCTTTAACTGAGCTCTTACGATGTGCCTGGTGCTGTGCCAAACTTGATCTCCTTTGAGCCCAGGTGCATTTTAGCCCCTGACTGCTGCAGGCACTAAAGCGGGGGAGAAGGGCATCATGCACCCAGTACTTGGCAGAACCATAGGCTGGACTCAGTTTTGTGTGACCCTTGAGCCCACCACACCCTGACCTTCCTAGAGCCACGCCAGAAGCCTAGACTGGCCTAGACTCTTGTTAGCTCCATGGTGTCTGCCACAGAAAGGCCCCTCTCTTCAGGCTCCCACTGAGGGTGTCCAACATTTATCCCTGTGTCTCTTCCAAACAGTGGTATTTAAAATGCCTGGAACCCAGAGGCGGGGCCCCGTGATGTCAGCCAGTCAGGCAGACTCACTGAATTCTGAGTGGATCGTTGATGACTAAGAAATTCTGTCCTTTCTTCTCCTCCCATAATCTGAAAAGACACCCAACAAGTTCATCTTTCGGTTTAAATTTGGCCAATGCCTTTAGTCTCCGGATGTCTCAAATTATGAATCCTGAGCACCCGCCGTCTGCTCTTTCATGCATAACGGATGAAGCTGGGAAGAACAGAGTCGCCTTTCAGATTTGATATGACCTTCAGCTTCACCGGGTGGGCGTGGAGGTCTCCTCTCCCAGGAGGAGATCCCATCCCAGCTAAATCCCTCTGAGGACTTCTCAACAAGCCCCAATAAGGAATGGGGTGGATTCTGTGCCCTCAGTTACGGCTTGGGGTCTGGCCTTCCCCCTCCTGCCACAGCACGTATACCGCCCACAGCAGGTGGCCCGTTTATCCGTCAGGATGTGAACCTTTCTCCAGCGTTGAATGCATGCCAGGCCCTGGTGGGCCGTTCACACGAACATCGATCCTGGCTGTAATGACTGTGCTAAGAGATGGGTGGTCCCAGTCCCATTTTCAAGATGGGACAGTTGAGGGGTAAGGAGGATAAGTGAATTGTCCAAGGTCTCAGCCAGGAAGGAGCAGACCTGGGATTCGAACCCCAGGTGGTCCGACTCTAGTGCTTGCTTACTGACACAGCACTACCCACCCTGCAGAGTGAAGTCCAGGCCGGATCGCCCACTCCCAGCAATGGGCAGCCTCTTCCCATGGGACAGATGAGAGCTGGTGGGGGAGGGGTGTCGGTCCTCCACGGGCAGAGTGGCAGGGCCTGGTCCAGGCTAGCTCCTCAGGCAGCAGCCATCCTCCAGAAGTGTCCAAACATCCTTCCTGCCTCTAGCTGGGTAGCTCCCCTGCGGCGCTCCTTCTCTAGACATGCCCCATTGACAGCTGTATCTCATCACGTCAGCGCCACGTATTGCCCGCACTAGGCATTGCCCAGCCTGTGGCAGACAGGGAAGGGGTGGCCAGGGTGGGTTTTGGGGTCTCAGGAGGAAGGCTTCCTCTGGGAGCAGACTCCGTGCACTGCCGGTGGTGAATGGCAGCCTCAGAGAAACCAGCTCTGGAACACGGGCAGCACCTGTACACATTAGCTACTTGGAGCTGCTGCACAGCTGGGCCAGCAGGCATCATAAGCCCATTTTAGAGACCATGAAACAGGCCCACCGAGCTCATGTGGCCTGCCGGCCTCCCACAGGTTTAAGATAAGAGGCAGGCCTGGGATCCGAAGCCTGTGTGTTCTCTGCCAGCCAGGAATGGCCCTGCCTCTCTGTGGGTCACTGGGAACATTCGGACAATACCTTGCCTGCTTCGGAACTCCTGAGCCCAGTGTCCGGCACATAGATGCTGGATCAGGGTGGTGCTTTGCGTCCAGCCCGGACAGATGTGAGCAGCTGTGTCACAAGTCCTGGTTGCCAAGCAACAATTCCAACTGCACTTGCTGAGCCCCCGCATGGGGTGGGGCTACCAGGGCCTGCCCTGATCTCTTCACAGTCCAGGGCTTGTGGGTCACGATGCCCTGGAGAGCTGGGCACAGGCCAGGTCTGCGCCACACCAGGCGGGCATTGGAAGCCAGAGCTGAGGAAGCCAGCAAGAGCTTCTGGAAGAGGGGTGTGCTCCTGCTGGGCCTTGAAGCGGGGCACAAAGGTGGGAGACGGCCTGAGCTCTGGGCGGCCAGAGCCTGTGTTGGAGACACCTGTGGACCTAGTGCTCAGCATAGCACCTGGCACAGAGTGGCCGCCCTTAACGGGAGTCTGCTCCTCCGAAGCAGGCCAGCCAGCCCGCCTTCCTAATAAGGACCCCGAAGGGGCCAGGTACCCTGGATCGGTAGGCAAGACTCGCCTCTCAGTCCACTTTGCAGGGTATGCGCTCTGGAGACAAACCCATCCTATGAGAGACATGTCCAGGCGCCCCAGGCTCGGCGCCCTTGGTCTCCGCCACCCACGGCCCA